GTAGGTAACTGGCATACCGTATAGGAGAGGGAAGGAGGCGTGCTTTCCCTGCTTTTTCCCTTTTGCTCTTGTCACTCGCAGCTGCCATGAATGGCTGCCCCTTAGCCATACCTGCTTAGAACCATCTGAATATGCACTGAGACCTCAGAAAACTGTAAGCTAAAAAATCTTTCCTTGCTTCAATTTGGGCATCATGTATTGTACCTCCACAAGAGAAAAGTAACCAAGACACCCTGGAAGCTCAGTGAATTCTCTCTCCTCTTGCAGCTTATCACCCTCTATCCTGACAACCTTCTAGAAAGTATGAGTCTTGATTATTTCCATTTATTCATCTCCTAATTATTTTTGTGATAAATTAAACAAAAAATTTGTACAATTTCAAATTTACTAAAAGGTTCTAAATACCGTACACTACACAAGTATGTTTTCCCCTAAATTATTTCATACTAAGTCCTTGACATGATCTTTCATCCCCAAGTGTGTTTGTGTATATTCCTACAAGTAAGATTTTCTCTTATATAATCATTCTACAGCTTTCACTGGACAGTCATGGTAATATTGCTTTCATCTAATTCTCATATCCCATTTGTGCTTTAATCAGGGTCTCATTAATGTCATCTAAAGCACAAGGGGTTAATTCAGAATTATGTGCTACAGTTTGTTGCCATGATATATCTTCATCCCCTGAAATCTGCAGTGGTTCTGTAGTCTTTTCTTACTGTAATAGTTCTGGCATTTTCAAAGAATAAAGACCAATTATTATATAGAATACAAACTCCTAATTTTTGTTTGTCACTTTCTCATGATGAGATTTAGCTGATGTTTCACTGGTAGTACACAGAAAAGTGCTCTATACTGCTAATTACCTTTTGTGAGTTGGTGTGGTATTCTGATTTATCCCATTACCAATGATGTTATTATTTGATGAAGGTCATACGTCAGGTGCCTCAATAAGTTACTCTCTTCCTTTTGAAATTCAACAAAAGAAGATCTTGTGTATGAGATAATGTAAAACTATGTACTAACATACCATTTCTCATTGAATTTTCAATACATTTTCTTTTTTATGTCAGAATAGACTCAGATTCTTATGGATTGGTTATATATAAAACTATCAATTATTTCAATGCTCAAAACATATAAACTTTGGCTGGTAGTACTTCTCTTCAAGTTATATCCTATATCTTTTCTTTTTTTTAAATTTTATTTAAGGAGAAAAAGAAAAAAAGCAGAAAAAGGGTACAAGTTATATAGAATTTCAGAAAAAAATAACAGTAGGAAATCACTAGTTAATAGATTACATATTGTCATTTTAGAAATATTGTTCAAGTTACAAAATTAAAGCATATGAAGTTATCCTATATCTTTTCAATTCTTACTGATATCTTTGTCATTTGAGAATATTCTTACGCTCTAACATAAGAAGATGTTCAAGACTTAGCTTGTATTTTCTTTCATACAGACCTAGAGTCACCTATTTAATTAGCAAGCACTGGTTTCTTTGGGTATTTAGAAGCTAGTGTCTGGGTGCTGAATGAGGTATGTCAATGCTGCGGGGCCTTTTAATGGACAGTGCTGGGAAGGGGTATGCACACAACCTCTCCCATACATCAGTGCATATTTCCTTCTGTTTATTTACCCAATCATTCATCCCTTGAAAAACAGTGAGTTCACACTACCTGTAATTCTGATTAAACATCACTGTGTCTACTTTAGTTTTCTTCCTGTCGGTGTTTATGGCTCACAGCTCCCTCAAACTCAACATGTCTAAAATGAAGCATGTCATAATCCCTGCCTCACCAACTCTGTTCTCTCTCTTGAATTTCTTGTCTCATTTAATGAACCTACCAATCATCGTGCTGCCCAAAGCTCTTTCCTTCCACATTCTCCTTTCTATTCTTCCACCTCAAATCAGTCACAAAGTGTTGCCTCTTCACTATCTGTAGTCATGCACCATCTCTTTATCCAGAAGTTTGCCCTACTAAAAGAATTAGACCCTTTTACTTCTCACATAGGCATTTTTAACCACTTCCTCCTGTGTTCTAAAATTTACAGTGGTTTTGTATCACATGCAGAATAAAATCCAAAGGCCTCACTGCACAGTTCCAGACCTCATCACAACCAAAGTACCTTCTCCACACAATGTGATGAACAGAGATACACTGCCTCCTTGCCACTCCAAACATGCCAAGCATATCACTGCCACATAACCTCTCATATACACTTTCTCTGCTGTGATTTCTCCCCCAGACACCTGCATAGCTTGCTAACTCAACTTTGAGATTTTTCCTCAGATATTTTCTCTGCAAAGCTATGTATAATTCACATGCAAAAGCAATAACTCTCCATCTTCTCCCCTCCAAGTAAGATAAATTCCAGAGGTGCATGGATTTTTCCTAACACCTGGAACACAATGTAATATATATTTGCTGAATGAAAACATTTCAGCATGGTCTTAATTCAATTACACAGTGGTTTAGTATATACATTATATCATAATTAATCACCTTTATATTATTAGGCTGCTTCTGTTTTTTCCATATTACTATAGATATTGCTGCCATGAAAATGAATAGTGTGTGTGTAGTTTTTACTTATTTGTAATAAATTTCTAGAAACAAGCCCACCTCCCTGGTAAGCAGCCATGGCTTGGGCAAATGGCCGAGGCCCCAGGGGGAGAACCAGCCAGTGTCTCCTAAGATCCACGCCATGTTGGAACTTCGAGTGCTGGGAAATCAACCAATCGGCTCACCTCCCTGGAGAGCAGCCGTGAGACTTATCGGTGCACGGGCTGAGAATCAAACATCCCAGCCACCACTACCACCACCATCCCATTTGCAAATGGGAGCCAGAGATCTGAGCATCTCTTGGGAGGTTAACCATATACAATATAGCAAATAGGGGGGATTTCCTTCTACCATCTCTTTGAAGGCAATAATGATATCACTGTTTTGCTTTGTTCTGATTAAATGTATTGCTCTATTCAATATTCTGTTTTGATAAGTTCTATAATGTTCTGTATTTGGTTTGATTTTGCTATACCTGATTGAAAGAACAACTATTGAGAAGATAACAAGATATACTATGGCACCTATTACTGTTATCCCAGTAACTTGTTGTGACCTTCTGTACCAATTTGACTGCACTGTCTCAATTGGCTTTGTTCTGCTGTATTTTACTACCTTCAAAATACTAAAAAAATTTTTTAAAAAACAGTGAATGCAATAAAGGACTTCAAGATAACAACAACAACAACAACAACAACAACAATTTCTAGAGATAATTGGGTTGTAGAGTATTTTATTGTTATCTGTTATTTACTGCTTTCCAAAATAGTTGTAAGATTTTAAAAATCCATGAGCAATAACTGTATAAAAATTCTTTTGCTTTTCTAAGTAAGATATAAAATTTAACTTTTAAAAGTATGGAGGGTTTTGGATGAGATCCCCCGCCCTGCCACCCCTAGCCTTTTGTACTGGGGATTGAATCCAGGGCCTTGTATACACTAGGCAATTGCTTTCTTAAACAGAGCTACTTCTCTGGTTCTTTTTAAACATTTTATTTGAGACAAGGTCTTGATAAATTGCCCAATTTGACCTCAATGTTTCAATCCTTTTGCCTCAGCCTCCCAAACAGCTGGGATTACAAGAATCTGACACACTCTCCAGTGGAGATTTTCTTCCCTTCCACTCCTGTCTTTATTCTCTCAGCTCCCATCTGCCTTAATGGACAGTCACCATTACCTGTTTCTAATATATCCTTCTAGAGTTTGCGTAAATACAAAGATATACATATCTCATTTCAAACACCCAGCATTTCTTGCATTTTTCTATTTAGTGCATAGAGTTTATCTTATTCCTTTTTTGCAGCTGCTCAGAGTTGCACAGTACTCAATCCCATATGTGGACCATAATTTAATTTTAATCAAATGTTTAATAACTATTACCACTTCTTACTGTCACAACAAATCGAATGAAGAACAACTGTATTTCAAATGTGTGTATATGTATCTGTAGGATAAATTCCAAGAAGTAAAAGTGCTACGTCAAGAGTTAATGTGTTGGATGGGGATTTAGCTCAGCAGCATAAGCGCCTGCCTTGCAAGCAGGCAGTCATGAGTTCAATCCCTGGTACCAATAAAAACGAAAAAGACAAAAAATTAAAAAAAGAGTTAATGTGTTTAAAATGTACCCATACACATATTTTTATCTACACATTACCAAAGTGCTCTCTATAGAGTTGTGACAACTTCACCAAAGTAAAAAATTGCTTGTTTTCTTTCAGTTCGGTTAGTGAAAAATCAACAATACATGTGTCATTTTAATTTACACAAGATGTTGAAGATTTCTTCATATTTTTTTCTATCAACCATGTGTGTCATTTTTATATGTACTGGATTGTTGCTCTTTTTTGTATTAATTTCCAGGAGTATTTCCTGTATTAAATACTGATTTTTTATGAATTATAACTACATATTCCCAATTTGCTATTTAACCTTACCAGGCAGGTTTGATAATATTTATTAATATTTTATTTTGAAAGTTATGAATGTTGAATTACAAAAAAACCATCCACCAAGGTAATGTTCTCATAGTTTTTTGTGGAGCTTTCATGGCTTTAGTTTTGTGTTAATTTCTTTTTTTTTTTTTTTTTTTTTTTGTCTTTTTTTCCTTTTTATTGGTACCGGGGATCGAACTCATGAATGCCTGCTTGCAAGGCAGGCGCTTATGAAGCTGAGAATCCCCAGCCCCATGGCTTTAGTTTTCATGCTTAAATCTTTGATCCATTGAGAATTTAATTTTTTTCCAGGCAGGTAATCTGCTTCACTTATTTCATTTATTGTATAGCTCATTTTCCAGAGAAAGAGAGAAAGAAGAGAGAGCGAGAGACAGAGACAGAGATGAATTCATGTATATACTTGGGAACACTGATCTATTCATTACATCAAGGGGGAAACCCATTTAATCTAAAATTAACTCTTTTCTTTCTTTTTTTTGCAGCGCTCCTTAGGATTGAACCCAGGACCTCTGTATGCTAGTCAAGTGTTCTACCACCAAGCTACACTTCCAGCCTAAAATTAACTTTTAAAAACAGTTTTCATTGTTTTTGCTTCTCATAGCTATAGGTTACCTATCTCACAGTGTTTTTATACAATAAAGAAGATAATTTCTGCCTGGGAATAATGACTGGCTTTCCATCCTGACCTCTGCTTTACTGAAGGCTCATTTTTTTTGATCTGTCAAGCTCCAAGTCTCACAGGCATCTCTATCTCAATGAGACCCTCACTAGAACTCCGGTTCCCACCACTGGACCTCCTCTATCCCCTCCCACAACTCCACAGTCAGCCCTTAGCCCATCTTCCTGTTATCTCATATCTAATCACCAGCAAGTTCTATGAATTCAGAATTTCTCTACTTCCCATCACTTCCCTATTAGCACATTAGTGCAGGTCACCAGTCTGGTGGGTCTAGATTCCTGAAATAGCCTGAGTTGTTTCCTGGTCACACTCTTGTACTTCCACATTCCATTTTGATCTACAGCAACAGGAGCAATGTTCTGAAAGCAGAGATCAGATGACATCTATTATATGCTCTCACTGAAGACTGGAAGGCTTCCCATTGTCCTCAGAATGAAGTCTAAACCCCTACTGACCTACCTCCTCCTGTCCTAACTGTCAGGCTCACTAACCCCAAGTGAATGAGCCTTAACTCCTTGAACATACCAAGCCCATCTGTGTCTTTGCAATTGTTAAGCAAATCTTTGCCCTAGAAAGTGTATTTTCCAGAACTTCTCTAGGCTGGCTCCACCTTGTCATTCAAGTCCCACTTCAAAGGTCGTCTTTCTAGATTTCCTGATTGCTCATTCCGATGTGACCTTGACATTTCTGGCAAGGTTATTGCATACGTGGCACAGCATTATTTCTCCTAATAGCAAATGTTCTTTGAGCATTTATCATGTGCCAGATTCTCTTTTAAATGCCTTGTGGGAATTATTTCATTAAGGTATCAGTTACATACAGGAATACCATCATAACCTCCATTTTTATAGATGAAAAAGGTAAAAGCATAAAGGAGTTAGGTAATTTGTTCAAAGTCACATAGATATAAGCCAATGAAAATTATCTGGCTTATTACCATATCTCAGCCCCACTGGAATGAACTTTTTTTTTTTTGCAGGGAGGAGGATCTTTTTGAGATAGGACTTCACTATCCAGTTTGAGCTGAGATTGAATTCAATTTGTAGCCCAAGCTGGCCTTGAACTCATAGTGATCCTTCTGCCTCGGCCTCCCAAGTTCTGGGGTTATAAGCATGCACTACCATGATCAGCTGGAATAAACATGTTGACAGAGTTGATTCCTTGTCTCTTTTGTTTATTGTTTACAAGTTACTTCTTGTGGCATACATGTTTTTCTTCTCAGATAATAGATATTAATGTATGAATTGTTTTTTCTCAACTAAAACCTCACTATTCAGGTTTAATAGCAGTGTTGATACTCTGGAATAAATAAGTGGATTTTGGGTCACAGTTTGGTCTCTAAAAGGTTTGCTATCACTGCACTATACCGATAAGCCCAAAGTACAACCTGCACAAAAGAGGTAGTTCATAATTTTTTAAGTGCCTAGTAAGTATTCAGTAAATGGAAGGTAAGAGAGTTATCCCAATTCATGTTCTCTATGAACATCTTGGGTGATGGGGGAAGCTGGATGCTCAGAAGAAAGCCAACTTTTGCTTCACAGATTTACGCTGTAGTTGTCCTGCCTAAATTTCTTTGCAGGTACACAAATTAAAGGCATAGAGTCTATAATCTCCAGAGCCCTTCTTCATTAGTGACTCTTGAAAGATTGGCTTGGTTACATGGCTAAACCTGCATATGAGCTACTGTCACTGCTAAGGACCAGTCTGTCTGTCCTCACAGTAGGCAGCACAGACAGACTGAGGGTGGTACCCACAGGTTCTGAAAATGCGAACATCATACCCTAAACCTCTGTTGACACTGTGTTTAGAGTTTAGACACAGTAATTTAAAAAATCTATATGTAACCAATGATAATGAATAATCTCAAAAAGTTTATGTAGTTAAACAAATCATATCATAAAAAATTAACCATTAGTGAATAGAAAAGTTTACGTTTTACATTGATCTTCTAGGTCATGATGCCATATAGCTGAATTTGTATTTCATTGGGGCAGGAAGAAAAAATTTTTTCCATTTTGAACAGTATTAAATATATAAAAGCTTTTGAGCACACAGTTCAAAACTTTTCATGGCACATGCTTTTTTTGCATCTATATAGGAAATATTCTATTAATTACTGAATTGCCGTTTTCTCTAAAATATGCTGCAGTACAGAGAATACTACACAATGCATAATGAAAAATGAGTGTTGTATCTAGAAATCATCCCAAAATTAGTATTTTCCATGACAAAAACTTTGTGGAGGTTATCTCATTAACATAGTTTTTTTCCATGACAAATTTTTTTAAAACAAAACTTGACTGTTATCCATGTACATAGAAGAAGCTGGCAAAGACAACACAAGCAATGGCTCTGCATATTCAGCTCACATGATTCCATATGCTAGAATCATCATGTATAAATAAACTCATTCCAAATCCTTTATAACTCTCTAAATTTGAACAAAAATTTGCATGTTCCTGCTTTCCATCAAATTGCATTTTTATTGAGTTTTTCATACACAGACTCATGTAATTCAAAATTGTTTTTTTGCCCTTGTTAAAAGTTTCCTCTCTTATTAATGACCTTTTTGAGTAAAACAATATTAAGACCTTACAAAAGCCACTGTTCATGACAGGTCCCACTGAACACCATGTAAATTCCTGGCCCTATAACTGCTGAATCCTGTGATGTAGGTTTACTTGTCGGCCTCACCAAACAAGTACAAATCAACTTCATGTCCCAGCAAGGTCACTGCTACCCATATACCATGTCTGCCTCCATGCCTTCTCAGCCAAGGCCATGAATGTGAATCTGTGCGCACAGGACCACACCAGCATGTGACAGACAGTGCAGGCTGACCTCAGTAGGCCTGTGGCTTCTCATAGATCTGCTGTAGGCAGTTCAAGGATCTGTCTCTGCAGAGCACTTGCTTCCTGTTCACTGCCCAACCTGCTGACAGGCATTCCACTTCTAATCACCACTGAGCCACATCATCAGCTTGCTGGGAAAAGCAGTACCAATCAAGGGGCACGTGTATGGGGCATTCACCAAGTGTTTGGGCTTTATTAGGTCTATCTTGTCTTAAAGTTTGTTCTCATCCTCTTGGAAGGCTAATGCTGTACAACCATACTGGAAACCCATTTGTGCTTTCATGTCACTGCATTTTACTTGTAAGTTTCAAGAATCAGTAAGCCCTTAGTACTGCTACACTTACTTCTTATTAATACTGCTATCATTAAATACACATTTGTAATGGTCACACTCTTTGAAAATGTCTCATCGATAGTAGGTATAAAGTAAATTTGTTGGGCTGGGGATTTAGCTCAGTGGCATAAGTGCCTGCCTTGCGAGCGTGCGATCTTATGTTTGATTCCGGGTACCGGTAAAAAAAAAAAGGAAGTAAATTTGTTGAACTGAATTTTCTTCAGCTATAAAACAGAAATGAATGTATGACAAATTTTTCAATGTCATAATAATAGAAGTATTAAAATACAGGTTAATGTACTAGAATATCAAGTAGCACAGAATAAAATAAAAATTTCTTAGTTCTATTTATTTAATGTCTTTTTAAAATTTATTTATTTTTAATTGGTACTGGGGATCGAACTCACGACCCCACACTTGCAAGGCAAGCGCTTATGCCACTGAGCTAAATCCCAGCCCTTAAAATTTATTTTAAAAAGGATAAAACAGAATAAAAGCAATCAAAACAAACCTGTGTAAGATATAGAGGCCTAAAAACATTACAAAATCAACATAGTTATCATAATGCCTTTTGATGTCTTCAAAATAGCTACAGATAACTTCAGACATAGTGAAAACCAAATAGAACAGAATTGAATAGAAACAATAAAAACCAATAATGAATGCAATAAAGGACTTCAAAACAAGCCTATAGTAAATCCAAAATTGCTACCATAATATATGATGCTATCTTTGAAATAGATGCTCCTGCCATCAGATTTTGCATAACCAAACCAAACAAAAGAGAATAAAACCCAATCCAACAAAACAATAGAAATGATATAGAGCTTCCAAAACAAGACCACAGAGAATCAACAATGGTTGCAACCCTCAGAAGGAAATCCTCCCTAGATGTCACAGTGCCATACCACTACCCTCTAAATCTATGCTCAGACCACTGGCCATAGACCTGCAATACTAGTGAAACACCATAGCACCACAGGCATCCAATTACGTTTCACCTCCATAGCTATCATCACAGCCTGTGTTTCTCCACATAAAGCAGTCTCTTATGGGGGTAAAGGGAAGGGAAGCTGTGGGATAGTATTTCCAGTCTGGTGGAGGTCCAGACCGGTTCCCAGACTGGGTTTGCTCACTGATTTGTCCTTCATTCTCTCTACTCTACTTCCACAAATGGTGCTGACTCATTGGGAGAGCCTAGGGTCTGGCTCTTCCAGTCTGGCAGGCAGGGGTGGGGGGATTGGAGTGGTGGTGTCTACGCATGGTACCAGTTCCCAGACTGAGTGCTCACTGAGGTGCTGACTCATGGTGAGAGGCTAGGGTTTGGCTGTTCCAGTGAGGGTTGGGGGGAGTGTCTGTGCATGGTGCTGGTTCCCAAACTGGGTTTGCTTGCTGATGTGTTCTTTGTTCTCTCTCTATTTAGTATCTTAATGCATGCAATATCTGAAAAAAAATTCCAGAATGCACTTCAAACATGCATAACTACCGCTAGTGTCTGCTAATTAAAATTTTCTTTAAATCCACAGCTTAATGGTTATAGTCTATGGGATACTATTTCATGGTTTTAATAACACAGTTTTTAAATCTATGTACCTATCTATCTATCTGGCTTTACTATTATGCAGAAATTTTTGGACATAGCTCAATTCTAGCTAGCTGGGGTTCCCTTGTGTCTCGGGGCCTGTCAGTCAGAGGCAGAGAGGGCCTACTATTTCTGTTAGCAAATATAACCTTAACAAAGATCTCAGAGTCTAGCCAACAGTTTTGCAGAGTCCAAGGGCAAGAAAGAGGTACCCAGGTTATAGACTCCGCTATGTTGATTGATTCTAGGGCTGAAAGTAGCAGCACTGGAATCAGCTTCTAGCTGTGGCTCAGAAGTGCTGGGAGAAATACAGGAGATTTCTGGCTGTTGGAGACAGTAGCTCCCATAGTGATGGGGTCCTCAGTGCGGCTTAATAGTTCAGCCTAGAGTTTTTTCCTTCAGTTTTCCTAATGATTGACTATGCCATTTAAACTATTTCAATAAATCTCTTCCTGTTTAAGTTGGATAGAACAGTTTTTGTTAATTTTTTTTGTCAAAGTCAAAACTTTTTGTCACTGAGTCTGATGCATTCATTATGCAATCACATAATGAGAAGTAGAGTTATAGATAACATAATTCTATACACTCTTCCTGACACTAAACTATACTACAACTAAAAAAAAAGCCAAATCAAACAATTTGTTGTCCACTTTTGTGGAAATACTGTATTTCTGTAAGACAAAAATGAAATGAGGAATGAACCAGTTCACTCACTTAGCTTAGAAATTCCTAGAGATGACCAGTGACAACCATATGGGTCAGGAGAAGAATTAAGAAACCAACCCACACTTTCCTGTGAGCCAGCTGGCGTGTGGGCTGGGAGACCAAAAGGGCAGACAACCATGCCTCACCCCCTGCCACTCAATAAGCAACCAGATGATTTGGAGGAACTCAGGCTGAGATGATAGCAACTAAAGTACAAAAAATAACATAATGATTGTATTGTTTGATTGACTTTGCAGGCTTATAGCTGGTAGTCTGAGCATCTATTTGGAGGGTAACAGCATGCAATATAGCAACTGTGTGAGGTTTCCCTGTCTTATTTTTGAAATCTAGTGTTTTGCTCTGTTTGTTTGTCTTATTCCTGAATCTGGTAACCTGAGCAACTATTTTGAAGATGATAATATGCAACATAACAATCACTGTTAAATTCCTATTATTTTGTTTTGAAATCCTATATAGCTATTGTTGCTTTTTGTTGTTGTTGTTTTGCTTTTGTTGGTTTTTGGGTTTGTTTGCTTCTTGATTTTTCTGATTTTTTTCTTAAAAAAACAAAAAACAAGGGTTTGGGGGTTTAGCTCAGTGGCCTAAGTGCCTGTCCCGCAAGGGCAGGGTCATGAGTTCAATCCCCAGTACCGAAAAAAATAATAATAATAATAAAATAAA